CGTCGACCTGAGAAGGACGATTAGAGCCCTCAGCTTCAGCATTGTCCTTTTCCCATCGAGGATTGCGACCTGCACCTTGACGATTCGAACGTCTAGGAGGCGGAGCCTGAGGGTTGACTCCCACTGGCTCATGACGATTACGAACGTGTCGAGGTCGTGGTGGAGGTTGCTCTACAGGAGGTGGTTGTTGCGGTTGCTGTTGCTCTTGAGCAGGCGGTGTGGGAGGTCGTTGAGGAGGTGGCGGTTGTGCAGGCTCGAGATCGTCGAAGTCAATCTCGTTGCCATCGGGTAAAGGAATCCTAAAGCCCTCATTTGATGGAGAGCCCTCAGAATTCAAGGAAGAGTCTGAAGACGAATCGTCGTCTTGGAGATCTGGGAACGGATTATCCCCTGGGGTAACGGGGCGATTGCCGGGTTCCTTACGTGCAGGGAAGATACTCTCATCGAAGGTCACATCATGAGACACGACGATCGAGTGCTTAGCAGTGTTCCAAAACAGATACCCCTTGGTCCCATCTGCATAATCCACAAACGTCATCTCGATTGCCTTCTTCTCGAGTTTCTGACGGTGGTCTTTCTGCACGTGAACAAAGGCTTTGCAGCCAAACACACGGAAGTAGGAGACGTCAGGGACAGTCCTGTTCCAAACCGTGATAGGAGCACGCCATTTCAGGCAGCGCATTGGTTGACGATTGTACAGATGAACGGCACAGGCGACAGCGAGTTGCCAGAAACCGTGAGATAAGCCAGCCATGTGAAGCATCGACAAGGCTTTCTCCATGATGGTACGGTTCCAACGCTCAGCACGTCCATTCTGCTGCGGCGAATCAGGTGTAGACTTCTGGTGTTCGATCCCATACTCCTTCAGAATTGATGTGAACGCTTCCGAAGTAAACTCCGTTCCTCGATCTGAGCGGACAGTCTTGATCTTGTAACCGGTACTGGTCTCAGCCCAAGCCTTGAATTCGCGAAAGGCTTGATGGGCCTGGTTCTTGTGGCGAAGAAGTACGTGCGCCCAACACCAGAACAGTCATCAAGAAACGAGACGTAATGAAGGTTGTGTCCATTGATCGATTCGGTGCCCATGGGTCCGTCCTCATCAGTATGAATGAGTTCGC